GAGGAGGAGGAGGAAATTCTGTGTCGACTGTTCTGCCATGATTCTGAGGTAATTCCAGAATTGTCTCCTTAGGGGACAGTGGGGACTCTGAGTGATTTTGTAAGAAGTCTTCCAGGGTTGAGAAGGAAGATGGTGTTGACGTGGCTCCTGGCACAGTTCCAGGAGGTGCCAAGGGGTCCTGCTCCCCTCCTGAGCCAGCACAGCCAGGATCCCAGCCCAGCTCGCCTCTTCTGTCAGTAGCCAGAAGGTGCCGGAGGTCAGCATCCCTCCAGGGCCCGAAGTGCTCCATGGTGGCGATCACCATAGAAGCTTCCCGTCAAAGTCCTGTGGGGCAAAGCCCAGGAGCCACCTTTCCTTCATCCTTTTGTGTGGAGGACTGAGCAACACCGAGGTCTTCCCAATCCAAGTTCCATGGATCTCTTGCTTGGAAAAAACAGGGAAAAAAAAGGCAAAGGACAAACATGAACGTTCACATTGAATGAAATGAAGAAGGCTTTTTGCCTGCTTCTGCCCGAGTGGAAGACCACTGATTGGGGGCGGGATTGGATTCACAGTTGCCGGCAGTTGGTGCACTTGCACCTGAGGAGTTCTGACCATCCCTGGACAGGTGGTCAGGAGAGGAGCAGGGAAAGGAGAAGCCAAGAGGAGAAAAGGGCAGAGGCCCCTTCTCTGGCCATCCATCAGTGGCTCTTTCCCTCACTCTGCCCTCAAAGTCTAGGCACGCAGGCCCCTCAGCAGCAAATGAAAGTCTGGGTACCAGACAGGCTGAAAAGGGGTGCTAGAGAGAGCAAGGGTGGGCCATGAGCACAAGCCATCCGGATGTTGCTGGGCTGGTGAGGAAAGCGGGAGCTGTCATAGGACAGAGTCCAGAGACCCTCAGATTCTCCACCTTTTAGAGCCGGTGAAGTGGCAGCCGACAGCCTACGCTGGGTGTAGATACATTATGAACGTAAATCGAGAGAGGGATCGAAATGTTCAAAACCAGTTTAAAGTCATGTGGTAGCCACATGGTTTTTGGGTGAGTGTGTGCATCCTCTTGGGAAAACTTTTCATCTGTTCTGTGTTATATCTCGGTTGAAGGAACTACCTGGGCCTTTAGAATTCTTGCACTTTAAGCTTTGCTTTGTGTCTGCCGACCCTCACACTGGCTGCCTCTCACAAGCACAAGCTGCTGCTGCTCTGGTGTTATTTTAAAGTATTTTTGTATTTCTTGTGATCTACCATAGCACTAGTATGATAGATTTTTTTAAATTAAAACTGATTGGATTGCAAGCTGTCATTGCAGCCCAACACACATGCATGGAGAGGAGACAGACAGACAGACACACACCCCTCCCAGAAGGTGGAGAAGGCAAGTGAGGGAGGGAACTGTGAGAGGCAGCCAGGAGAAAGCAAGATGAAAGGCAGGCCAGTGACTAGCAAAAAGAAACTGACCAGAGGGATTTACAAGATCAGCAGCTTCTAGGCTTATGAAGAAGGGAGCACTTTCCCTTATACAAACTTTCTCTCTCTACTGGCTCTCTTTTCAGATTGGATTGGAAGGTTTCCTGCAGCCCAAAACCCAGGATCCTGGCACCTTGTCTGTGTCTCTGGACTTGATAAAGCCCAGAGACACAATCTACAGTAACAGAGGTGTTCACATATGCCAAAACGTATCTGAAAGTTGAGTCATGGCATGATGACTGGACCTCTTTCTTATTAGGTTGAAACGTTTCACTGATCTTAAATTCCAACCTTAATAAGACAGAAGTCCAGTTGCCACGACTCATCTTCGAGATACTGTAACGTCATCTGGATGACGGAGAATCTTCACAGATATGCCAAAACGATTAAAAATAAATTGATTTTACAAGCGATTTAAAATAAACGACCCTCTCCCAGCCAGGTGAAATACCTTGCTTTCAAACAAAGGGGAAAAAAAAACACCACCCTGCACTTGATTAGCACCGCCCTGTGCTAATCCAGGTTTCTTTCCATGAGTAAGTGAGCTCTCTGGCACTTTACAACCCAGCCAGTCAGCCGGCCACTTACTGAATGTGCCACAGGATCCTGCACGCTGCTGAAGTGCAAGGGGGTGACTGCACCTTGTGTACCAGGAGAAGAGGATTAGGAGAAACAGCTCAAGCAGGCAAGGTGGAGCCTTGAGCCCTCTTCTTGGTTTGTTTCATTGTTTCATTCCCTTGGGTTGAAAAGATTTTCAGTGCTCTTAAACCCTTAATCTGCTCAAAATGGGAATGAATAGAGCTTGCTCTGCCTTGGAAAAACGTGGAAAGCAAGAGAGAAAAGAGGATTTTCTCCTGTTGTATCCCCTGCCACACAAGAGATTACATGGGGTCTGAACATTAACACGCTGGAAACCATTCCAAATACACAAAAATACAGGTTGGGGATGCAAATTTTGCAACAGGATCTTTCTAGATTTTATCCATGGAGATATATTTTTTTCCAGATGGCAGCAAGCAACAGGTAGGCAGGGTGGAATAGAGTGGGAATGGGAATTGATCCAGTAGGAAAGAGACAGTCTCCGATTGCCCTCCCCACCAAGGGAAAACATCCAAAGCCCCAGCTGTGGAGAAGCTCTGACAGATTTCTCCTCTCCAGCTGCAAAACAGAGAACAGGAGAGGGCAAAAGGGTACCCCCTGCCCCTAGACCCAGGCCTGTCTGGGTGAAGCAAGATCACTCCCCCCACACACATCAAATGTAGGTGACATTTCTTGACCACAGTCACCTTTGCCCTACTTGTGTTCCACCCCCACTGCCCATGGGCACACCTGCCCCAGGCAAGTGGGGCAGTCATGGCCATTTGCTGGCACTCCCCAAGCCTATGCTAGATTCTCCTGGAAGTCCTGGGGGTAGCAGGTGAGAGGCTTCCTTCCTTTCTTATCGGTCCCTAAAAGGCCCTCCAGCTGCCCCTCCCCCATGTTGACCAGCCTGGGAGGGAGAAAAGGATCCCGAGTGAGCTGCCCACTGCCTTGCAGATCAGCCCACAGGCTATGCCACGAGGTGGGTGGGTGGACCTGGCAGGAGGCCTGGAAATACCTATGAATCGCCACCTCCCCGACTCTCCCACACCTGCCCCCGGGGCTGATCCACGCCCAGACCTCAATAAAAGTCCGGGCAAGCAACTGTCTAGAAACACCCCCCTCCCGGAGGCCTAACACTGGAACAGGGAGTCAGCCGTCCCACAGGGTCTTCCTCCGGGCGGCCCCCTCCTCTGAACTTGAGAGGCGTCCCTTCGGTCCTGCGGCAGAAGGCCTCCTCGGGGACTCTGGACCGATCCGCCGCCGGCTCTTCGTCCCTTTCCGCAGGGCTCCCGACATGCTCGGGGTCGCTCGCTCGCTTTTTCTGCACGGCCTTGCGGACGCGCCAGGGAGAGGTCGCGCGTCCCCGGCGCCCCTTCTCCCGGGTCTGGCAGCGGCAGACCAGCCGCTGTCAAAGAAGCAGCCCTCCGGAGGCCGCAGGAGGCGAGACCCCCGATCCGCCGCCGGCTCTTCGTCCCTTTCCGCAGGGCTCCCGACATGCTCGGGGTCGCTCGCTCGCTTTTTCTGCACGGCCTTGCGGACGCGCCAGGGAGAGGTCGCGCGTCCCCGGCGCCCCTTCTCCCGGGTCTGGCAGCGGCAGACCAGCCGCTGTCAAAGAAGCAGCCCTCCGGAGGCCGCAGGAGGCGAGACCCCCCGGGCGCCGGCCTCCGAGCGGAGCGGC